TTATTCTTACTGTTACTTTGATGGTTTGATACTTAGATTGGTTTTTTGTTTCCAAAGAGCAGCCCTGCCAAACAACATTGTGCGACTTACTCTAATTTGCATACTTAAGATGTGCCATTAATGTAGTTATTCTGGTGAATTCAGGATACTTTGTCTCTCTCTGGGCGGGACTTCAAGTTGACTCTAATAGCAAGACGTTCACGTCATTATGCTGGTACCAGGTAAACAGTTGAATATATTCAAGATGATATANTTTTGATAAGTTATTCTTACTGTTACTTTGATGGTTTGATACTTAGATTGGTTTTTTGTTTCCAAAGAGCAGCCCTGCCAAACAACATTGTGCGACTTACTCTAATTTGCATACTTAAGATGTGCCATTAATGTAGTTATTCTGGTGAATTCAGGATACTTTGTCTCTCTCTGGGCGGGACTTCAAGTTGACTCTAATAGCAAGACGTTCACGTCATTATGCTGGTACCAGGTAAACAGTTGAATATATTCAAGATGATATAACTTGTTATTATTGTTGTCAGATTATTATTTTCTTTTTAACAAGTCAAAACTCCTTCATTGATTCACCAAGGCAATGTCAAAAGTATATATGGCGTGAGTACGTATGCTACTGATCTTCTAAAAAGTCCAAGTGTCCAACCAACTGTCTATACTAAGTGATATTCTTTCTTTGAGCCAAAAGTACAAATGAATCATAAATCTTTCTTCATCTTAAATTTTCTTTCAATTCGGAACATCACCCCATTCCTTTTCTGATAAAGTAATAAATTTCATTAAAAGAGAGTGAAAAACACATCCTTATACAAAAGTATACCCAAAAAAAAAAACTTTACAGAAAATATGGTTTTCTACAAAAGAAAAAACCTAATCTTCTATGCATATAGGAACCTTGTGGGTGCGCCAAAAAAAAGGGATAAGACTCTATTCCTCAAGTGTGCAGAATCTTTCTATACTCCATCAAATGCTCTAATGTCCCATGCCCTGCTTCTTCTCTTCCGTCTTTTGAAGGTCCAGCTAAACATTGTTTCTTTCATCGTTCCTGACATCACGTCTGGAGTCCAAACCATCTTAGGATTTCCCACCACAAACAGGACACTATCCGACAATATAAAAGGAGATGATTCACATCTTCTTCTAAGTATTTACACATGAAGCATCAACTGACACAACTAATCTCCCTCTTTCTCATATTCTCCGTTGTCGAGATCAACCTCTCGTAGCTAGCTAAGTAGGGGTGGGCATGATACCGACCGAACTGGGAAAACCGGCCGAACCGATAATTTCGGTTTATTCGGTTCGATGTATTCGGTCGGTTTGCGGTTTATAATTTTCTAAAGTTTGGTGTTCAGTTCGGTGATCGGTTTTGGGGTTGGTGTTTTTCGGTTAACCGAAAAACCGAAGTTTTCTTAATAAGAGCTCTGGTGGGCTCTCCTCTCCTTAACCACATATGGCATAACTGAAGTCTAACGCTGAAGCCCAATGCAATTTTCTTACTCGCATATCTGAAATCTAAAACTAACAAGCCCAGCGGATAATAATTTTTTTTGATGAAGTAAGTTGTTTCATTAACAAAAGGCATCTAGGAGATGCAACGTTACAAGGAAATTGGAATGCATAAATACTACTACATGTTAGTCCTTCTACATCTTGTCAAAGACAAAGGAGCTAACAAAATCCATTAATTGGTCAGTACTGATTACAGTAGCTAACTTAGTCCAGCAAAAAAGATTGAGTAAGCATTTAGTTTTGAGAACGTGATTTGGAGTTGAGATTCCATCAAAACATCTGCAATTCCTCTCATTCCATAAACACCAAAAAATAGCAGCAGGGATCATCAACCAAATCTTTTTGATGGTCTTATCAACTCTCCATAAACTCCAGCTCATGTGTGCATCTCTCAAATTCTGTGGCATGACCCACTTCAAACCAGAAAGACAGTAGAACATGTTCAAGAGGTCGGTGGCCACTGGGCAGTGCAAAAATAGGTGGTTGACAGTTTCCTCGTTCTCCATACAGAGGTAGCATCTGTTGACCAACTGAAAACCTCTTCTGTTTAGGTTGTTTTGTGTTAAACATGCCTCATTGAGCGCAACCCAGTTATGACAAATGACTTTAATAGGTAGCTTAGTCTTCCATATTAACTTCCAGGGCCATGCATCTAACACTTGACTAGGGTTCCAGCCCAGCGGATAATAAGTAGACTAGGGTTCCAATTCCATTTTTTATTTTCCCATTCACCAGTCATAATGATTGCTGAATTTGCCGTTATTGGATATCCTGCTGCTGCAAGCCTGCAGGGCACGTCTGTTCTCCTCGCGTTCTCTTATGTTCCCTAGGCTTAACATGTCCTTGAATGTTATTCGACATACTAGCCAACACTTTGCCTATTCTTTTGCTTGACTAAAGTTAAATGACAAGATCTATTATGTTCATTTTGTTGAGTTTACTACAGTTGATGCATGTTGCTGCACTTTCTCTATAATTGCTCAAGCTTAAGTGCTTTAACTGATAAGATCTGGACATTTTAGTGTGCAGTAAGTATTGATGCTACTAAATTCTTCGTTCTTTGTTCTGTAATACAATTTTGAATATTTTTTGACATACTTAAACCGACTGAAACAAACCGAAAATCGACAGAACCAAATTAGTAAAAACAAAAAAAAAAAACTAATTTCGGTTCGGATACTGATGCAACAAGTAAAATATTGGAAATCGAATAGACCGAACCAAATTTCATGAAAACCGAACCGAACCGACCGACGCCCACCCCTAAGCTAAGTGAGAAAACACACATTTCTCTGTACCCTAGGGATCCGTACCGAGAGATTCGGGAAATTTGACCCCTCCCAGTTCTGAATATCTCTTGGGATGCTTACTTCCCAAGATGGGTTATGTAATGAAAAGAACCAGTGGTGATGCTAATCTATTGCTTGTTATAGCATAGACTCGTGGCATGGAGATGCTTCATTCAGGAATAAGTATCTAAACCACTCATCCAACTAGTTGCCCTTCTCATCTGGTACTTCATTAATTTTAAAAAACTGGTACGAAGAGAGAATCTTTCCCTTTCATAATTCCTTTCCAGAAGCTTACTTCATAAGGGCTTGTTACTTAATCCATTACTCGATCTCCCATATTTATCAAATATCTCCTCTCTTTTATGCATTCCTTGTATTTGCGGATGTCCATAGCCATTCCAACAGGGACATATGGAAGGCCTCTAGTCTCCTTATCATAACCCTCCCTTCCATATTGAAGGATCTAGTCTTCTCATCCACTACTTTTTAATCTTTTATCTTGCTTTTGGAGGGTGACAATTTGTGCAATCTTGTCACTAGTGATAACTTTTAGAACTGACTATAATGTTTGAGTGCATTTATGTCAGTCATGCATTCTGGAATATGGCATGTGATATCTTCTGTTTGGTTACTGTATATTAGCCTTTTTCTGCCCTATTAAACAGTTTATTATGTACTGTTCTCATTATAAAATATACATATGCTTTGGGCCTCTGCATGGATAATATGTATAATATATTTGGGGGGGTTGTGGGAGG